AAAAAAACAAAAAACGCAATCAAACTGAAATGAAACTGTTTTTGCGCGCGCAATAAAGACAATGCTCTCGCGGTTACAAATGAAATAAAGAAAGATAATAGTAATTAATTATTGGAGCAAGCACAAATAGTTTCCAGGCAGTGTTCGACCTTTGTCCCTATTGAACAATATGTTCTTTCCCTCGTGGCAATTTGACAAGCCTCCAGCCACTTCCTTTGTTGCGACTTTTTTTCTGTCATTACCACTGAAGTAGCGGCTCAGTCGATCGAGTGGCCAGTGTTGTTGGCATGCTCAGCAAGCTGTAAGACACCTCAATGCCAAGAAGTCCGCCCATTGTCTTTATTGCGTCATTCAAAATAGAAGGAAAAAAAGAAAAGCCCGAGAAACCTTGATGGCAAAATTTGGATTCATTTTTTACTCTTTTTTATACAGTACAACTACAAAAAGAGAGAAAGAGAGCCTTTTTAAGATAAAAAACGTTTTTTTCTCGTTTTATCTGGTCCGTACGGGAATGTATGGCCCGCTTTTTAGCCAATGAAATCGTGTGTTACATCCGAGCTATATGTATAGTTTAAAACACGACCTCGAGTGTTTTGAACGGCTTAAAAAACTCCAACACTAATTTGAAACTCAAATCCGTTAAAATTCTTGGAGACATTGCCGTACAAATAAGTTCAGAGATAAATGGGGCAAACTGATCATGCGCGAATCACTTTACAAAGCACTCTTGTCATCCCACATTGAATACGCATAAAGTGAAATAGAAGCGCTCTTGGCTCGGTTGACATCTTGCATTGGTCAATGATCAGGTTTCAAACCTGAGACCTTTGCTAGTGTCATGGACCTTTATATCTGATAAAGGTCACCCGTATTAGTATTCTTTATGTTAAGGATACTAATAAGGAGTGTTTTATCAGATATAAAGGTCCATGCATGTGACCAAACAGTCTCATTCTATTGGTCTAGTAGCTCATTAATTATGTATGAGTTTTTTAAAATARTATATAATATCTTCTTCCTCGATTGACAGCTAACTTCTTTATTCGTTGGAAAAATTATATTACTGCAATATAGTGATTTCGATGGAGTTGGACCTGGTCAAATATAAAGTTAAATTGTAGTTTGTATATCACATGACACATGCGATACGACACGTTGAACTTACATATACTGCTAAATTCTAATTGAAAGATAAAGCGGTTGTTTGGAACTTATTTCAATGATTATTAAATTGTAGTCATAGGACAATATTAATTAGTACAAAATATAGGGTCTGGGGCGGATCCAAAATTTTATTCAGGGAGWTTTCCAGGAAACTTAGAGAGAAAGTTTACTCCACAAAAACGATCACAAAAGAGACAAAAAATATACTAAAGAAAGTATTGAAGATTGCAAGGTCTCAGGAGGGAGGCGTACCCCCTGAACCCACCAGCTGGATCCGCTCTTGAAAAAAATCTCTGCATCCTCAAAATGCATATGATAAAATTAAAATCATGTATACTACACATTATATTCATTTATCAGCATTTACTAAGAAGGTATCTATAACACAAAGTTAGCCCTCTATAGATTGGTTTTTACTGGATTGTGAAATAATATAGCCAATGGAAAGCCGTTTAAAAGACTTTCTTGCATTAGAATATGACTAGTAGGATATTCTTAGTCATTCAATAAACAGACGGGACTGGCATTAATTATTTCTTAGATTAATGAAAACCACTGAAGTTCAACCAACAGACGGGCTAATAAGATGTTTATAGGTACTTATTACAAGCATTATCAAAAAAACAATCAAAAAAATTATAAAACTATTAGTGAGTGATAACTATTCTCGGTTATCAAAAGAGCTTTATAAAGTCATTTTAAGTAATATTATTATTGTAGTTGTTATTATTGTAGTTTTTATATAGTTATAGCGCGAGAAGCAACTAAGGTTATTCGCAACAACGTCAAGTAATGTTTMAAGTCCTCCAATTCGGACTGGAACTAATTGCAAGGACTTGAAATCCCGTCCAGTCATTAATCATTCGGGAGGAGAAAAAACCGAAAGAAATACATATAACAGAAACATTTTGATTTATTGCATCTCCAGCAAGGTTTTCGTTTGCATAATTTTGAATACAAGAAGCACCGTTTGTTGTTTTCCAACGGCTTTCTGAAACAAAAGCTTCTCAAATTGTCTTTGTCTGCTATTCATGGCATTCCTAATGACCCTAATTCATAAGTTTTATAAGTATGTTATCTTCCGATGAATCGCATCAGAAACTCGGTGGTGTAATGGTATAAGACGGCGCATATAGACTGGACGGTTGGGGATCGTTACGTGAGTCAGTTATGTATCCAAGACCTTTTTTCACTATATTAATTCTATATTTAATTGATTATTTCTAATACTTTGATTATCATTAGCTAGTAGTAGTTAGAAAAAGGTAGACATGGAGTACAAATTTGTGCAACACTTTCAACTATTTACTACAAAATAGTGTTAATTAAAAAATAGAAAACAATAGAATTAGCATAATTTAGCAGTAATTAGTGGTACTTATGTTGCATAGTTTTAGTGTCTGTACTCTAACTGGAAACAAGGTGAAGATAACTGGAAATAAGGTAGATTGCAAGATAGGAGTACTTCCTCTGGTACTAGCCAATCAGATCGCACGTTATACAGTATCTATCTTATAATGATATATCGATTATTATCTATCTAGCGAGACTGAATTAAGTTGCTCATTACGATGATTATCTTTTGCTCTCTTTAATAGGAAAATTTCAATTTATCTCATAAATTGAATATCTATCTTCAAAATTGCGCACTAGAAATATTATATTACTATCATTATTATTATTAATAATATTTTACACTCATTTAAAATAAGAAATAAAGCTCTATTAGAATCAAAACGCATTGTCTGATTTTTTGTTGTTGGTAAAGAAAGAATTGGGGTACCCATCGACCCAAGTTTACTTATCAAACCTATAGCTTCTTATTCTTTGTTTCACTATACGTCACAGCGCTCATTTTGGAGGAACTTCAACAAAGGAATTCTCATCAGTATCTATTGCTCATTCCTCTAACATGGACTGCTTTCAGACGTTGTGCGCACTACGATCGCAATGCATGATTTTCTTCACATTGCTCGCCTCTATGAAAAACATGGCGGATCAAGTCGATCGCAAGATAGTTGAGTTTCAAACTGAAATTTGTTCTTTATGACTCATATTTATCTGACAAACACGCAATCATTCAAAGCGATATCATTATCAATTTTCTCAAATGTATCCGATTGACGATAAAATATTTTTAGATTCTATAATTTTGAATTTGAGTTGATGCCCATACATTTTCAAAGTTTTGTGTGAAATTTTGCAGAGCTATTTCCTCTTTAGCCTGCGTAGCCAGGCGTTCCTAGTCACGCCGAGAGAGTTTGGGTCTGATATGAGGGTTAGGAAGGGAACACCTGCCCGCAGCAGTGAGAATTCTCTCACGATACACGCGGTTAATCCTGCATATCTAATGAGGCGTTTTTCAAATTTGTTAAAGCTGCGGGCAGGCGTTCCCTTCTGGGTTTCTCCGACCAGATCTCTCTCGGAACGGCTAGGAACGCCTGGCTACGCAGGCTATTTTCTCTTTTGTTCCTTCTTGGAACTAGTTCAAAATAGTACAGCCTCTAGAAAGGTGTATTTCAAACACATTTTATGGCGCCCGGTAGCGCCCCCGAAAGTGTTCATTTTATGTGATTGAAATATGCCGCTTTTTGACAGGTAATCGACTAGCATGGCGACGAAGAGGCATCTTTAGCTGGAAGTTTAGGACTGTCAAAGACTACCCCGATGGAAGCACGCCAGAATCCAATAGAACTTTAAGATAATCTTGGAAGAATTCTTTGAGTTTCCCTGCGAACCAAAGGCTGGATTTACTCTTTGTTGTAGGTTATTTAGTCCGACMAGYCYTCTAGTCCGAAGGCCGGTTCGGCGTTACGGCCTCAAATACGGCTCTTCGCACCGTAGCTATAAGAAAGAGTAAATCCAGCCTCTGGTACCAGGACCGTAGCGTCCTTTACGCATATACGCACGTGCGTACTAGTGGCAAGGAAATTATACAACAATTTTCAGGATTTTTTTATATAAAGTTTCTTTGCTTGCTTTCTCCAGCAAGGCTTCGTTATCAAAAAGAATCTCAAAACGCTGGAAATAGCATTTCCAAGAGTTACTATTTCAAAATTTCCTGGGGAGGACCCCCCGACCCCCCTTAATATTCCCGCCTTCGGTGGTCGCTAGGCCCCCAACCCATAATATGTGTCGCGCTCCATGACATGTGCGTACTAGACAAAATGTCCACGCTACGCACCTGGTTACCCAGGTATCTGAGTTGGGGTATCTTTGAGTCTGCAGGGTTATAAAGTTTAGWAAAATASCATCAGTAGTTTTCCGAATTCATAGTTACGCGTCATTCGCRTGCGCTGTATTGGCCAATCACAACAGAGGACACGTAATGGCAGCCATGTCATCCCACAAAAAATGTAAACAAAGTCGGATCGGAGGGCGAGGTTGAGATGATTTTGAGACTTTCTGGG